GTCCCCTTTCAGAACAGCAACAAAAACCAACCCCAGAGAAGAATCGCCCCACAGCTGCCCTGCTGGCACCATTGGCAAAGCACCATGTCCAAATCTAGAGGTCACCAGCTGAGCAACATAAAGAAGGTTCTTGATTTGTCTAGTAGCAATGGGTTTCCAAACAGACAGACTTAAGGGACACTGTACAGCTATGCAAGTTCCTTTACCTTGTTAGGTGTTGTTTTCCCCTTCATAAAATGGATTCAACCAGAGTACACACCTCAAAGGCACCAGGGTTAAATGAGGGAACATGTCTGGAAAGTATTTGTGTAGCCTGACACACCCCACATTCTCAAAAATTAAACCTGTGGTAATGCCAAGTTCAGCCAGTGGTTAATACTGGGAAGAAGGAGGGTTCTCCCTGCCCAGCATGGAATTAGTGTGAACGAACTAACAACTTTTCAGCCATAGGAGTTAGTCTCTGACAAATCTGCTTGCTGAAATTATTGCATCTTCTATGAACTGGCCTAGAAACTACTTACTCTGTCTCCTCCACTGGACAGTGAGCTCCGTGGGCTTGCTCAACACTATTTCTTCCCCATTAAACAAGCTGAGTACCTTATGGCAGTTGGGACTAAACCTTTGTCAAATTGAACAGACTCGGTTCAATATTTGTAGATATAGTTCATCTTTGCTACTAGACTAGAAGTTCTTCAGGAGTGAGGACCATGTCTTGCTGTAGTAAAGAGGTATTCAATGAATGAGAAAAATTCCAAACCTAGATTCAGGTTTCTTCAACCCAGCTCAGTCACTCACCAGCTGTGCAACATCAGAAAAAAGTCACTTAACACTTTTATGGCTTCTTTTTCCCACCTAGAGGATAAGAAGTTTGGATTGTCAAAGCCTCTTATGCTGTGAAACTGAGTTTGGGCCTGAGCTGCAAACATAGTACCATCCAGCTGTCAGTCCCCATGGCTTCAGCCCTTCCTAGCCATTTGCCTCCCTGATCTGCCAAATCTTCTGTCATCAGCTATGATCCGCTTTTTGGGCCAGAAGCGTTACAGTCACGTCGGAATGTGGTCAAATCACTTGTCCCGCTATCTAAGGATGCCCTGTTATCCCAAGCTAGTGCTCTGGTGGCTGAGGGCACCATGGCAGACTGGGGGCACACTCCACCCATACCACTCCCATCCCAGACTCCTCCAAGAGGCCTTGTCACTAGCTCACTACACACCACCAACTGCCACATATCAAATAACCTGGTGCAGGGAGAAAACTGAACTTGGTCTTTGACATTGAGGTGATCACATGACACCTCTCCCCAAAAAGTTGTATGGGTTTTATTTGGGGCTTTATTTTAGCAATGCTTTGTGCAGTCTGAAGGCCCAAGAGTTTGGCTCAAAGGAAGTGCATGCCATGTGGTGACCCGGAGGCTCACCCAATAACAATGCCCAAAACTACATCAAAACAAAGGTTGTATAACAAATGATACCCAAATTCAAGACTTCAGAAATGCATTTAGATCTTATCTGAATCTACCTGATTGTCTTACCTTCCTGTAGGTAAACCTCCCTATTTAATCTAGCATGTTAATTTAATTACCCTAAAAAACTAATTATCTCCCCTACCTCTCTCTGGATGACATAAAGCTAATTGTCCAATGCATCCTGCCTAAGTAATGGTCTTAAAATCTAAATGAATTCCTAAGTGAGATGAGAAAGAAAATTGTCTAAAAGAAAAACTAAACTGGTTCATTTTCCCCTTTTGAGGCTTTATATAAATTATTTTCTTCAACTCTCCTAAGTCCGAGAAGTTGGCATTATTAATGATCCATTTTACAGATGAGGAAGCTGAGGCTGTAAAGTTACATAGCTTGCCTAAACTCACAAAGCCAGTAAGGCATCAGTGAAGCATTCGAATGCAAGTCAAGGCTCTTAGCCTTTCTACAAGAGTACCCCAGTGCTGAACTTGATAATCTCGAGCCACTTTGAGTACTTGGCTTGTGGACATGCTTAATTAAGCAGGGGCCGGGAGCCCCAGTTGGGGATGAAGAGAGGGGATGCCTAGATCACACAGACAGGACTAGGCCAGCAATTCCAATTCCTGCCTCTGCAGCTCTGTTCAGAACTGCACTTCACAGAACAATGAAGGTGAGACGGTGCCCTGTTGTGTTTCTTTCATAAAATCCTTCCAGACATGCAATTCCAAGCCACAACATTCTCATCTTAAGGGGAAAAAAAAGAAAAAGAAAAAGTCTCTTCTAAATGAGCAGGGCCCCTGATCTCCCAGTATTCATACAGCTGGATACCCAGCCCTTGAATCCCACTGGCAAAGCAGGTTAGAACCTCCTCCGCGCCTCCTGAGAGATGCTACAAGAGGCACTGGTACCAACGTGAATACTAAAACATCACATCAGAACTCTGCCTGAAGACAGAGCTGGCAGAATTAACACAGTGCTCTCTCCAGTCTTTCAAGAGAACCTTAAAGGAAAGTTGTAAATGTCTCATGGGTTATGGGACCAGAAGAAAACGCCACGTTTGTACTTCAGATGAAAATTTCTTGTTGCTCTTGACACCGCCTGAGTCACCAGGCACTGAATGGGCAAGAACAACTTGCTGACTGATTTTTTTGTTTGTTTGTTTTGTGTTATTTTTCTGTTCAGCCAGACAGTGAATTTTCCACCAGACAATTCTTGTTTCTCACTGAAGTTCTTCTACCATCTGTAAGCACTGTGCTCAGCAGGGGAGGACTCATGGTAAGGAGGACTTCCCTCCGACAAACCTCAGCTTCCCATCTGCTAATGCAAGGTGTTCACCAGAAAGGCTTGCTAGCATTCTAAGCTTAGCTAGCAAGTAGAAAACAGTCCCATGGATAAATGAAGCAGTTTGCGGATTGCCAATTTCTGGGGCTGGAGCTGCTTCTAGCTTTAAAATCTTTACATAATTTTTGAGTAAAACAAGAGATTTAGCTGAAATCAATAGCACAATGGGAGAGTGAGTCGAGGTAGACAATAACAGAGCTCTTTGCCGCTGAGACATGAGCCTCCAGCGTTCTCAGGGCGCCCCCTAGTGGCAGAACAACTAAATCCTGGAGGAATGTTCACGGCTTCTGCAAATGAAGAGCAAGACACCAGCAAAAGAGAAAGGCAGTCTCCTGCCTGCTAATGAGTCTTTCACTCTAAGCCAGGCTGTGGATCAAACAAGAAGGACGCCTCACAGGAAGCCGCAGTGAAGCTCGGAAGGGCATCTGCCATTAAGACAAAATTTCCTTCTTTCAAACAGTTGTGTCTGCTCCCCAGCCCTTAGGTGTTGGGTCCTTCCTCAGATCCCAGACACACCCTTCCCACCCAATCCCTCACATCCTCACATCCTCAACCTGCACCTCCAGCTGCATCTGTTTTTCATTATCCTGCCTTCCAACTTCCCAGCGCGATTCTTCAACAGTTATTAAGACAACACGAGCAAGAAGCTAAGCTTAGTTTTTGCTTATTCAACATCCAGCCTGGGGAATATCACCTCAGAAGAAAAGCATGAATGAAGCGTGCGTTTCCCAGCCTCTTCTACAGACCCAAAAGCGCCTTCGTTCATCAAAGGGCATCTTTGCAACCTCAACTCTTTACCATTTTCAACCTACATAAATAGCACCTGTGCAGTGAATTCTCAACTTGCTTGCTGTAGAATTTATTACAAAGACCGCTTTAAAAAAATAAAAAGTTCAATGCCCCAAATTTCCAATTAATTGATAACAGACTTTTTAAAGTTATAGGATAAAATTGTATCATCCCAGACAGTAAACCTGAGAAATAAGGAAGAATGGCCAGGGACACAGATATTTGAAAACTGGGGGGACTAAATTTTGCTGATTGGTACCCCCTATTTTTTTTCATGGACCTGTCCCTGTACAAATGCAAAAGAAAATGTCAACACCAACATTTCATTTGACAGTTCATTCTGTCTTTCCCTGTGGCCATTGTAACCCGGGCCCTGAAACACCCCCAAAGTGCACACAAAGGAGTCTCGTAATTAGCTTCTGACTTTGGCCCTAAATCAATTAAAATACATCTAATCTGCTTTGAATCAAAGAACCATGTGAATTTGCTGCCACACACCACACAAAATCTTTCTGCAACAGTCAGTCACTTTGAACCAAACTCTCTAGCCACAAACAGTGTAGATTTCAAGGGCCTGTTCTGCAGAAAGGAAAATGACAACAAACCAAGGCTGGGACAATACAGGGACCCCAAGGCACTCACAGCACTCCTTGGAGCTGTGTAAATGGTGCTGGTACCCTGGCAGAGTTTCAGCTGTCACAAGGGCAGCTGGCCAGACCCCTTCAACAATGTAGTAGCCCTGCTGCCAGGGCCCAAGAGGAAACCAAGCCCGCTGCAGCAACTCAGTGCAGTGTCTGGATGGCCACCCATGTCAGTTCCCAGAAGCCAAGATGCAAACTGTCACAATCCTCAGGCGTGCAGTAGTAGCTTTATTTTTGCTCCCTAACCTTCTCTTAAAAACGGGGTCCCTTGCAGCGACAGCATCAGGATGATGGGGCAACAGAGTGGAAGGATGCAGAGATGGGGGTCTGTGCAGAATGGGGGAGAAGTGCGGGGGATGGGGGGAGACACAGGGCTTGAGGGACTAGCTCTGACCTCAGGATGTGGGTCTTTGGGGAGTTGTACAAACAAGGAAGGCATTCAAGGGCATAGGTCTGAATGCGTGCCCGCGGGGGAGACCCCATGATCCCAAAGCTGCAAAGTGTTTGCAAATCCTAAATACTACTTTGCTGCTTGGATAAAAGAGGAAAAAAAGCCCCAAAATATGCGCAGACAGGATGTAACAAGTGTTTCAGGAGAAACACGCCTGAGTCACGGGGTGCTGTGGGGAGAGTGAGGAGTCAGTCTGGGGGGGATCCCTAGGAGCCCCCACTCTAATTCAAGAGAACCCCAGCGTGCACAGACCCTTGTGTCCAACGCCCTCGGTCCCCAACTTGGTTAGCCAGTACCTCCGGGGGGCTTCCCCACTCACCACTCGGCCCGAAAACCTCTCGGTGGCCCTTTTGACTTTGCCGTAAGTGCCTTTGCCCAGGGTCTCCTGCAGCTCATAGCGGTGCTTCAAGTTGTGCTTGTGGTGATGCCGCTTCACGCCGTGTGGCTTCCTGGGCTCTGGGGCCGCCGCCGCCGCCGCCGCCGCCGCCGGGAAAGCTGCAGTCGCCCCAGCCACCGCCTCCGGTGGAGAGCCCGGCGCCCCCGGCCCCAAGTCCGGGGCGTCCCCCGCCGCGGGCGCAGCGGCCCCTTCCATGTCCAGACGCGGGCGCACCGGGCTGGCGAGGACAGGACCCGGCACGGAGCTCGGAGCGTCGGGGTCCCAGCCGAGGGAAGCCGAGGTGCGCTCAAGGTGGCCCCCGCAGCATTGGCGAAGAGGCCCGATCCCGCCCGGGCTGCGGCTGGGTCACTGGCGGCGGCGGGGACTGCACATCTGGAGCCCCCGGCGCGCACGATCGGCGCACCGCCCCCCAGCCCCGGCGAGCTGCGGAGCGTCGGGCGAGGTGGCGGCGGTGGCAGGGGAGGCGGTGGTGTTTGCAAGAGGGAGGGGAGAGAGGTGGCTCCGAGCGCAGGAGGGGGAGTGTTCTGCAGGGCGCCGCGCCCCCCACCCCGCCCGGGGAGGACGCGCAGCCGAGGCGGGGGCGGGGACGGCGCGATCGCGCGTTCCCGAGGGAGGGGGAGCGAGGGGCGGCGCGGCCAGGGCTTCCCCACCTCCCCGCCGCCACCGGGGCCGGGCCACCCGAGCTGGAAGGGGGTTGGGTGCGTGTCGCGACTCGCCCTTTGTCCGGCACGGCGTAGGCCGCGGCGGCGACCAGAGGGCTTTGTCCTCGCCAGGCCGGGATGGGCACTGGTGGGAAGGGGGTGTGGATTCCCAGTCCGGCGCCCCCTCCCCGGGCTCACCCGCCGCTGCTGCCGCGGGCCCGCCGCCGCCTCTGCCTCCGGCCTCTCGGCCTCAGTTCCTGCTCGCGCCCGGGCGGCGGCGGCGCGCGGAGCCTCGCGACCGGGGAAGTGACAACGCACCGAGCCGGGGCCCGCTCGCGATCCGGCCGGGGTCTGCGCTGGCCCCGGCGTCCCTTCATCTTCTTTTTGGTTTCGCCACGGCGGCCAGGCCGAGCTGGGGGAGGCTGGGGAAGCCGAGGCAGCGCGGTGTTGGGTTACAGGCGGTGAGTCACGGCCCCCCACTCCCGCCGCGGGGCGCGCCCCCTCCCGCCAGCCGAGGCTCGCACCCCTGGGCGCCCCGCAAAGCCCCCCGCCTCCAGCCGGGGAAGGATGTTGTTCTCCTCGGGCAACCTCAGGCCCTGAAAACTCCAAGAGGGCCGCCTGGGCCCGGCCGCCGCGCCCTCCCCGAGAAAAGCGGAGTCGAGAGGCTGCACCCGGGACAGTCGCCCCGGAGGGGAGGAGAAATGGGGTATGGAAGAGTTGGGGTACTCGAGGCACCTGCCCCGAGCGGGATCCGCGGGGCGGCCCCCTCTGCCCTGGAGTCCGCCATCGGAGATGGACAAACCAGGGGCCTCCGGCCTGCTGAGCTAAAGGCGACTTGCATGCTCCTTGGTCCCCTTCGGTCTTGGGAGCTTTAACTAGAGGGACCAGATTCTAGCTCACCAGTAAGGGTCCAGGCAAGAAGAGCAACCCTGGCAAGGCTGCCCTGTTCTCCTTAATGCAGGCGAGAAAAATAAGGAAGAATAGCATGAGAAAACTTCCTTGGGGAAGTTTGTTTTTGTTTTTTTATAAATGGTGCAATATACCGCATTGGGATTGGAAAAACAAAGTAGGAAGAGCATCTGGGGTGTTCTTGACTTTTCCACCAGTAGAGCGGCCTCTGTAACTCAGGTTCATGCCTTCCTCCACATTCCGGTTGTCTTCACTCCTGTCCACCTCTTATCACCTTACACTGGACTCGGGCAACAGCCTGTCCTCCTCGGGATCCCTCCCTGCTGCGGGAGTAATGGTCTAAAACACCACAGTCATCATGTCTCCGCCCACACGTGCCTCTCCTACCCTCTGGCTTGGTACTGCTTATCTGTCCGAACTTTTTTTCTACCAATGCTTGACATAAATTCCTCTGCCCCTTCCTGTTTTCCCTCTGAGCAGTCACCTAAGACAAATTCCAGTCTATTCTGTCCACCACCCTTGCCGGGCATCTCCGCCCCCATCCTGAACTATATCCTGCTTTTATACAAAGTTTGTAGTATTGTGCATGTGGGTTCAAGAGTCAAGTGAATGGTGTGCAGGCTGAGTCCCAGCCCCTTACGGATTGGCTGTCATACCTTGGTTAATGCAAGTGTGAAGCTCTGAATTCAAGCCCCAGTCCCACCAAGAAAAAGAAAAAAAAAAGACCCTGGTTAAATGACTTCACCTTTCAGAGCTTCCATTTGCTCTTCTTAAAATATGGATTTGCAGATCTGTTTTTTAGGGAAGCAGATTATGTCTGGAGTGATAATTAAAACTGTTCACCAACTATTTCCTGGTTCTCTCCCTGCCTTGGGATATGGTAGCAGTCTTCTACCCTACCCCTTAAGGTTAGATGTAACTTGCTTAGGCCAGTGAAATAATAGCAGAAGTGATATGTGTCTCTTCCACATGGGAACTGTTAACAGCTAGTAAACCAATTGTCGTGTCCTCTTCCCATCTTGACAATCATGGCAATGCAGCATCAGAGCCAGCCTAAGTGTCTATGAAAAGGCCTTTTCATAGAGACCAGTGAGGTTATGGGTGTTTCATAACCAGTGAGGTTATGGGTGTTTGTTACAGCAGCATAACCCAGCTTATTCTGGCTGATTGTGTTACTCCAAAATGCATGGGACTTAATCCCTATCTGTTGAATGGATATCACCTACAATATGCTAGTACTATTTTATGACAACAAATCCTTCTCTTTAAGGTAGTTTATAATCCCTGTTTTTAGTTGAGAAAATTGTATCAGAAAGGTTTAGTCTGATACTTCATCTGAGATTACCCAGTTTGTAAATAGCAGCACCAAGATTTAAATCCTACTTGTCTGGTTCCAAAGCACCTGCTCTCCATATGCGTCAGGCGACCTTTCCTTAAAAGGGAAGGATGCAAACCACCCAGTCCAATGCCTGGCACAGTCATGGCAAGCACTGGGAGTTCCTCTCCAGCCTGAATTCCTGTAGCATTGATAACTGGAACCACACTTCAGCACAATGTTATCATGCCTCGTGTACGAGGTTTTTACAAAGAGAGAGCATTTCCTCGGGTTAGAGTCTCAGTTCTAGAGTCAGACTGACCGGGTTCAAAACCCTGCTCTACCACTTACTATATAACCATATTGGACAACTATTTTCCCTTTCTCCGCCTGTGAAATGAAGACAATGACAATAATTTGGCACTGGCAGTAGTAACAGTGTGTTCCACAAGGTTAGTATGAGGCTTAAGGGACCTATACATATGCCATAAGTCATGGTTATAAATATTATTTGTATGCCATAGCTCCTACTTAGAATTGTGAGCATTTGCAAGCAGTTTCATCCTACCACTTGGCTAGCCTGTGATTTCTGGTTTATGCTGGATACCGTAACATCTGACCATAAGCATGATATTCACACCATCCTACATCTTATAGTCACATAAGGCCCATTGCTTGTCCCTTATTGCTCTTGATATTTCCGAGGTTTGTTGCTTGCAGGCCAGGGTGTTTGAAAAATGGGTGACCATTCTCCACTTTGTTTGACTAAAAGCAGAGGTCTCTAAGACCCCAAGAGATGGTGAAGCCCGGACTTAAAAAGCTTGGTTTCCTACGTCACTTGAGGAACACCACCACTCTCTGATTGAAACTTTGGACTTTTACACATAAAATTCAAGTGGAAGACTTTAACAACCATACGAATATGGCTGGTGGAATGGCTCAAGTGGTAAAGCACCTGCTTAGCATGTATGAAGCCCAGTACCACCAAAAGAGAATTAAAATACTGTCATTCCAACCATATGAACAGTTTGAACCAAAAATGGTGCTTTTGTATTCTCTGCCTGCTTGTTTAAAGAGAAAGCAGAAGCCAAGCACCGGTGGCTCACCCTATAATCCTAGCTACGCAGGAGGCAGAGAGCAGGAGCATCGTGGTTCAAAGCCAGCCCAGGCATATAGTTTGGGGGACCCTATCTTGAAAAACCCTTCACAAAAATAGGGCTGGCGGAGTGGCTCAAGGTTAGGGCCCTGAGTTCAAGCTCCAATACCACAAAAAATATATATATAATAAAAAAAAGAGAAAGCAGAAGCTGAGTGTAGTGGCACATGCCTCAACCACCACACTTAGGAGGCTAAGGCAGGAGGATTACAAGTTCAGGACCAGCCTGGGCTACAAAGTGAGTTCAAGGCCAGCCTGAGATACATAGTGAGTCCCTGTCTCAAAAAAAGAAAGGAATGACAAAGGCTAGAGCAGATTACAGAAGGGGGAGGTTTTCCTTGAATTTTTACAGTGTGACATGTACCAGTTATCAAGTAAGATAATAATTATCATCTTACTGAAACAGAAAGAAACCAGTTTACTCATTCAGTAATATTATCTGCAACACTGGGGGCAGGTGCTCTGCTGGATACTGTAGACATAGTCTCCTCTTCCAAGCTGCCAATTTGAGTAGTAAGCACAATCTACAGCATTCAACTGACCTCCACCAAACTTGGGAGAACCCAGGCTAGTTGAACATGGAATAGATAAAAACTAAAATTTACTCCCAAATCAAAACCAACAGCTGTGTTTCTTCCCCTGCTAAGTGACTACAAAGACAGTAAGAATGGTGCTGAGAAGTTCAAATCATGGCTCTCCCACCTTCTAGCTGTATGGTCTTTAGCAACTTTCTGTTTCTCAGTTTTCTCATCTTTAAAATGAGAATATCAATAATACCTACCCCAAAACTTTTCTGTTGAAGACTCCTTCAGTTTGGATCTTAGGTGTCCCCCAAAGGCCCATGTGGAAAAGGATTAGTCCCCAGGTGGTAGAACCTTTAAGAAGTGGAACCTAGTGAGAGGTCTTCCAGTTAGTGGGGATATGCACTTGTAGGACTTGTAGAACCCCAGTGTCTTCCTCTCCCCCTCATCTCCTCATCATGA